AAATGTGCCTTTGTCGAAGACTTTTTGACTGAACTAACCCGTATTTGCGTTACACTGAGAGAAAAACACAAAAACCTCCCATGGTTAGCCTGACGGCAAAGAGATTCTAACCCGTAATCTTTCTACCACTGAAAATATGTTACATCAGCACTGTGGTCGGAATTCCTATTGACAAGTCATCGCTGGGATTCGACCCTAGTTCACCTCATCGGAAGTCGAACACTCTAAACCCTGAGCCACCACGACTCCAATAATATGTTTAATTGAAATAAAAAAATAACCTATTGACTGAAAAGGTTGATGAAGAAAACATACTTTTTCGTTTTGGAGATATCATTATTCGCCATATTATTATTGATATCAATGCTTAATTAATCTTGGTAATACGTATTAATTGAAATAAAAATATGAGCTAAATAAAAGCAAAGTTAATGGGAAATTGTTTAGGGGAACGGTAGGACTCAGTCTTGATCCTGAAAAAATTGAGAAAAATCCAGGGCGACGACAGACTTCAAAAACTTCTTTAAACAGTTTCTGGGGGCTGTACGTTTCATTCAACTAACATTTACAGAGATTTTACTTTAAAACTATTATTTAATTGTATAAATGTCTATATATATATATTTCTCTTACACGGCGACAATAAAAAGCCTCATTACAACTCCCCGAATGGCAACGCTAGAAAATCGACCAATGATTGCCGCTAAAAATGTCACATGCCAAATCTAGGTGAGGTGATTCAACATATAGCGCTTTTAAAAACGGAAACTGAAATAACCAGAGAGAACTGAATTAACCACTCTCATACTATTAAGCTAGGCAGAAGTGAGTAGTCTTTGTCGATAGATCTCTACTTTAGTATTTTGTCGAAAGCGCTTTTATTTCACGAATTTATATATTACGAATTTATTTGACGAATTTTGATTTATATCATGAATTTATTTGTTTTATCACGAATTTATTCTAAGGCTTATACTTATGTTTTTAACAAAGTTGTGAATCATTCATGGTTATTATTTCTCAAAAACATAATGTTTTGTTTATGCAGATTTTTCCATTGCAATTCACTTAATTCAATTTTTAATAGACTTAATTATAGCCAAAATTTTAACCTTTTTAAAGAGATATCACTTTTAGAAATGTTATCTTAAGATTTTATACTATAGCACATGTCTAATAGGTTTAACGAATTACATGTCATTTATTTGAATTCAAATTTATTTCAATTGCTTAGTATTTACTAAAAAGATGTAATTTTTTTTTAAAAAAATAAGTTAGAAGCGAGCTTGGTTTGCGAAGCAAACCATATAAGATTGCGTAGCAATTTTCGGGGGTTGGCGAGAGTTAGCGAGCAGGGGGTGCAGCCCACTAGTTTTTTTTTAATATTCTTAGTTGGGGTATGAATTGCAATAAAACATAATTGACTTATGTGTATGCAGTTTTGGAGTTTGATAAAATGCTTTCTGATACAACGAAACCTGTAAGTGAAATTTAATATAATTATTATTTATTGATTTTGTTTTAAGACAAATAATTAACAATATAATAATTTCTTTTAGATAAAAGACGTATATCTTCCCAACGATGAGGTTGTTGCAATTATTTGGGAGTCAAAAAGAGATTTCATATCCCGGGATACATCCACGAGTATTTTCTTGGCAGCATTCACTACAGCCTGGGCCAGATTGAAGCTTTACCGAGAAATGGTCAGGCTGGGTAAAAGTGTGGACGATACGGACTCTATTGCCTATGCCCAAGACGGAAACAACGGCCCTCCTCTTGGGTATTTTCTAGAAGAATTCACTGACGAGTTGGACGGTGATACTATTACAACTTTCGTATCAGGTAATTACTTTGCTTTTCTTTACTTATTTGTTTTTTAAAATCATTATGCCTTCAATAGATAATAATTGCGTTTTTATTTTTTTTAAAGGTGGGGCTAAGAATTATGCCTATGAAACGGCGAGTGGAAAGCAATGTTGTAAGATTCGAGGATTTACCTCAACTCTAGGAAATTCTCAAAAATTGAATTCTGAATCAGTAAAGAAAATGGTAGTAGGCATGTCTGAGGATTCAACACCCTTGCATAACCCAACGAAAATCTGCCGCGATGCAAAGAAGCGCAAGGTTCAACAAACCTGAAACTAAATTGTAAAGAATCGTCTATGACAAGAGAGTCACACAAGAAAATTTCAGGACATTGCCTTATGGTTATGGATGACTCAGCAGTAACTTTGAGGGTTAGCCAAACGGTATTTCCTTTGTCATCATCTGTCCACCAAAGAGAGGATTATGGCTCCTGGCGATTGACCTCTTTAAAAAAACGCATCTCCATCCTTACCTCACTAGGGTGATGAGGAAAAAGGATTCTTTAATATGTCTATGAGAGATGTGCGTGAGTGTGTGCAGAGCCTGACAAAGGCAAGGGCATACGGGGAAGTTGCCCTGTACCCCATATCAGAGGGGGCCCCCAAATCCAATAGAAAGTTTATTTTAGGTTTCCTTCTTTAATGAATTTTTTTTGAACAAAATATCAGTACAGTGTAAAACCCGTCAATTTTATGTTAGCTTCTTCATTCATCTATCGTATGAATACAAAAAATCTGTATTTCGTAAATCCATGGCTTCCTAGAGTGATTTCAGATAAAGTTTCGCAATTACGATGGACAAATTGGGCCAATCAAAAGTCTGAATTTTTTTACATATCGCAAAAGGCGATATGTTTGAAAAAGTTCAGATTTTTGATTAACTTTAGTTGAGCCATCGTTATTGTGAAAATTTAGCTGAATTCCACTTTTATGCAATTAATTGCGGCTAGACGACTAAGTTAATAATCAGAAAACCACATCCAGCATAATGGACATAGAAATAAAATCAATAAAATAGGCAAAACGATATTTCGTCTGACTATTGGGAGGGGTGGGGACTTTATAGCTATTTTAGGTTCTAGTCAATTTTCTTGTTATCTATAATGAGGTGAAAATTTTTAAATACCTTCATAAAGTTCAGTTCTTCATTATGGAAGTAGTGAAGCAGAGGGGGTACCCCCAAAGAAGTTTTGCCCCGGCACAATGGGCTATTGGCGACTGCCTGGGAAACATCCCTGAGGATGACACGAAGATATGCCATCACAATTTTGATCCTCTGCATAGGGGATGGCACCCCTTCTTCGGTAGCCCGACGACCTGCACGCGAATTCGAGCACTTCACGGTAGAACAGTTTAACGAGGACCAATACTGCACACCCTCGGTCCCTACGCAGACTAATCCAAGTGGTCACCCACCCGCACACTGACCGCTGACAGCAGAACTGCCTGGATTTTCAGGTTTCGTATAAACGGATGAAGGTAAACAATTCATAATCTATTTCAGAAATTTTTAGAAATAATCAGAATTTTTTTCTCCAAAAACAGCTTAATTCTAACATTTAAAATTAGCACTCATAAACATTCTTAAAAATAATGGTATACAATAATTTTAATAAAATTAAATAGTAATACCTATATAAGTATAAAATAGTTTTCCTTATTGTATTAGAGCAAAAAATTTTCTTTCTTCTATATTAAAAACCTAAAAAAACGTGTTATTCTGAAAAAGAAAATTCATGTCTGCTGAAATAGAAAAATTTTCTCCTCTGCAAATGAAAGTTTCATACAAGACACGTAAATTAAAAATGACAACAAAATATTTCAAAAACTTAAGTTATTTTAATTGCAAAAATCATTTTTAGTAGTAGCTAATAAAAATCTAATTTAATTTCTTTTAAAAAAGCTTCAGACAAAAAGTCTTTCAGAGGTTGTCTAAATAACCTTCTTTCACTGTTGTGGTTGTTGCATATGCCTGTTAGGAGAGGGGTGTGATTGTTCTTGTTTTCCAGTGGCGCCATTTATGGCCGAGAATTCGACTTCTGTCATCCCCGTTTATAGGGCAAACTCATTCATACATCTATTTATTCATCCACAGATCGCAATTATGACCTGAATCGAGAACGGTCAATCTCCAATCCAGTACCCCCAGAGGTATTGATTTGTTATGGGAACACGGAAGACTTTGCGACTCGACAGATTTAACGTGCATCAGTTACCATTTACTACACGGGGAGTCTTCGGTCGGCGGGGCAGTGCTCTACCGACCAGGCTATCCCGAACCTAACGTCTTTCACTTTATTCATTATTAAAATCCAGAGCTATATTCCCCACATTTAAGTTCAAGCAAGATTCGTTAAAATCGTGAACACTGCATAAAACCTGTTCTAGGAAGCCGGCAGACCTGTCCACGGGCATCAGTTTAGACCTTCCTTAAGTTCAATGTGTTTATATAACACAATTTTTAGGCAATCTTTCAAAACTGAACCCTCTTCGTCGACGTCAGGATTCTTTGGCACACCCGGACACTGTTGTTTCGTAGATTCTTGAAAAATGTTAAAAAAGCTCATGGACCTGTATTTTAAACTAACGTAGCCGAATATAACTCTGCCTCTATATTTCTGCAATTCTCTCCATTGTTTGAAACTGATTTCTGTCTGGTGCACGGCCACTTCCGCAGGTATATTCATCCACTTGTAGGTATTTTCTCTCCTCATTCATCAGCACGTGGAACTTTTTTGAGGTTTATGAATGAGATTATGAATGATGGTATTTTGAGGTTTTCAAAATTTATTGAGGGGTCATGTGCGCAATATTTTAACTTTCATGAGAACGATCCAACTGAATCGTTCATCCCAACATAGCGACCGAAATTTTATTCATTTATTTTGAATTCCTTGAACATCACTCCAAAAATATTTAAGCACTAAACGAAGATTTAAACATTTTTGAGCTTCCTAAACAAATTTAATTAACTGATATTGTCAGTGAAATAAAAGAGCTACAATTTTGATAAACGGTAACCTTTTTTTCTGTTGCCAACAAAAAAAATATTATTCATTTCCTTTTTCTTAATTCCTATTTATTTGAAATTCGTTGAGTTCAGATTTTCGTTCTTTCCGACGGGCAGAAAAAAGTGCCTCTAAAGCTTTCCACTATCCTTGTTTTGTTTAGTTCTTGCTGTAAAAAATTCCTTACAATTGCTATTTATCGGTTAATCATGCTGAAAGAGTATTGATTTTAGATCGTAAACTTACAGAAGTAAAAGGTTATTTCAGTGAGCAATCTCATGCCGATACAAGTTAATTTAAACCAACAGCATCTTATTAATGATGAAGAGAAAGTTTATATAAAGATTGTTCATCTTAAATCATTCACAGAAAAAGCTTTTAATAACTCACTCTTGTTCATTCTGGTGAGGTGCATTATTTTGTATGAAACCATCATAGACGCTCAATTAAATTCTTTCTCATATGGTGTGTAAAATTGTTTCTAGATATAATTTCGATCATAACCATCTTTCTGTTTGGCAAGAAACTTTATTCTATGAAGTAAAACTTTTTTTAAGAAGAAAATATAACTTGTTCATTTTGGAATGATGTCTTTGTCATGCAGTATTTGTAATAAAACTTTCTTAAAGGAAGAAAGCTTAAATATGCATAGTCTTATTCATACTTTGTTCAAACCTTACTCGTGTAGTGTGTGCAGTAAATCTTTCTCACAGAAGTCTAATTTAAATAATCATTATCTTATTCATACTGGTGAAAAGCCTTATTCATGCAATTTCTGTAATACAACTTTTTCGTGCAAATCTTATTTACGTTTACATTCTTTTATTCACACTGGTGAGAAGCCTTTTTCGTGCAGTTTATGTGGGAAATCTTTCAGGAATAGATATAGCCAAAAGAAACACTCTATAGTTCACAGTGGGGAGAAGCCTTATTCATGCACGGTATGTGAGAAAGCTTTCACTCAGAAAGCTGAATTAAATAAACATTATCTTGTTCATACTGGAGAGAAGCCGTATTCATGCACTGTGTGCAACAAAGCTTTTAGACTGAAAAGTGTTTTAAATCAACACTATTTTGTCCACAGTGAAAAAAATCATAATTCACATAGTTTTTCAAATTACAACTTACAAAAAGATAGTTTGAATGAGCCTAGTCATGATCATACATTATCAAAACCTTATTCATGTGGTGTGTGCAATAAATCTTTTTCTTGTGAATATAAATTAAATAATCATTCTGTTGTTCATACTGGAAATAAGTCTCATTCTTGCAATGTATGCAATAAATCTTTTTTGCATCGTTCTAGTTTTCTCCTTCACTCTTTTATCCATACTGGTGAGAAGCCTCATTCTTGCAGTTTATGTAGTAAGGCTTTCAAAGATAAATCTAGCTTAATAAGACACTCCGTTGTTCATACAGGAAAAAAGTCTTATTCATGCACTTTATGTAAAAAGACTTGCACACAAAAATCTGATTTGGATAAACACTATCTTATTCATACGGGAGAGAAGCCACATTCTTGCATTGTATGTAATAAGGCATTCAGACTTAAAACTGTCTTAAATAAACACTACCTTGTTCATACTGGAGAGAAGCCCTATTCATGTAATCTATGTGAGAAAGCTTTCACTCAGAAAAAAGGTTTAAAAAAACATCATCTTGTTCATTCGTAAGAGAAGCCTTATTTCTGTAATTTATGTAATAATCTTTCACATAAAGGACTATTATCAAATATTATAATTTGTTTTTATTATGTTTATTTTTGAGGGAATTTCTTATTCTTGTTATGAGGTATAATATTTCCAACAGAAATGTAATTTAAATTTTAACTTATTTATATGCCTACTGAATAAAATTATTGTGGGAGGGTGGTATAAAAGGTGTTTTGTAGGAAAAGGGGAAAAAATTAGAAGGAACGACTGCAGCTTTATCTGAATTCATATTTAAAAAATTTAATATATAATGAATATAAAATTTGCGATTATTGGTCCAGAAGCTACTTTTTGGGTGATAATATCCCGTTTGACGAAAATGGTCAACGGGAGAATCCCGAAATACCTATATTTCAATCAGTTATAAATAATATACCATTACATCTGGAAGTAAATAAACATGGGCTAATAGTATTTCACAGGTTTTTTCCATGATTTTTACCGTTAAAAACCTAGTTTTTACCATGTCCTGGTAAAAACTGGTTTTTTCCTTGTAGAAACCCAACCCTGAGTTTTATAAGTTTCTATAAATAAAACTTTCTTGAAATTGTTGTTTAATTTATAAATATTCTCAAAATTCAATTGAATTAAATGAATTTTCTTTTAAAAATTTATTATATGACTTCAAATATTAACTAATTATAATTTTTTATAGTTATAAAAAGAAATATTAAAATAGAAATTGTATTTATGTTCAAAATTATTTTAATTTTGCAAATAATTTGTGTTTAAATATCGATCTATCTATATATACAACGTTAGTAATTTTGATTGGACTATTAAATATGTCTAATGAATATTATGGTTTACGTGCCTACTAAGGAGAATAACTCAAAATGTCAATTCCTGCATAAGTAAATCCAAAAATACAATGAAAAGCTGGATGTGAATAATAAAGTAAATAAGAGAAATAAGAAAGCGTTTAATTTTGAATTATAAATTAAAAAGGAGAAGAAGTTAAATAAAGAAATAACAAAGATTTGTTAAAACTTTTTATTTTATATATTATATATGTTACCGGCAAAGTTTGAAATCCGGCATTCTGTAGAATGCCTAGGCATTGTACATAATATAATGCCTAAAACTAGTCGGCAATGTATGAGATGATTTATATTTCACACATTTCCTAGACATTCTGATGCCAAATGAGAAACCGGCAAAGTATAAAATCTTCTGTGGCCATGCTAGTAAAGGTGATGAAATGGATATTTTGTGCAATATTTGTTTCTAAACTGAAAATAATTGTGACTTAAATATGAATTTTTTATACGAAAACTTTGTTTACCTTAATAAGAGTCCCGCAGTGGACTGATCGTTAAGACACGGTTCCCAGCAGATCACCGAAGTCAAGCATCACTGGCTGCTGTCAGTGTGCGGGTGGGTGACCACTTGGATCAGCCTGCATAGGGACCGAGGGTGTGCGGTATTGGTCCTCGTTAAACTGTTCTACCGTAAAGTGCTCGACTTTGCGTGCAGGTCGTCGGGCTACCGAAGTGGGGATGCCATCCCCTCCGCAGAGGATCAAAATTGTGATGACATGTCTTCGGATCATCCTCAGGGATGTTTCCCAGATCGTCGCCAAAAGCCCATTGTGCAGTTCTAGTGCGACGTAAATGAACAACAACCCTTAATAAGAAAGGCATAAATTATATGTTTTGTGCTACTTTCATTTTTCTTTACGCATTTTGAATAAATTTTTTCATGGCACTCTCATTATTTTTTCAGAATAACATTTTTAATTTTGAGAAATGCACATCATTTATATAATAACCTCATCAGGACATTTTTTTCATACTTTGCCTAAATAGCATTTGTCATTCTATAGAATGCTTAGGTATTATATACAATACCTAGGGAAAGTATGTAATGTGTGGTGATAGGTTCGCCGCTCATCGTAAAATCAAGTTTATTTCATATTGTTATCTGTTTGTCTTTAATCAATTGTGTTTTTACTTATTTTTGAAGTGAACTGAAATAAGAGTTCTGACGTCATCATATTAGAATTGTATAAATACCAGCACGCACATGACAGCCTGTCAGTATTTCTCTCATCACCTGCTGTGATGATGCTTCTTGTAAATCAAACCAACTTGTATATAAATGTAAATATGTTTAATAAAATATTAGTATCTCAAAGGAGCTATCTTCGCTTACCTCAAATGCTTCTCATATTTCATACCTTGCCTAAAAACATCCGGCATTCTATACAATGCCTAGGGATTTTATAGAATGAAGGCATTTCATACTATGCCGGTAACATATATATTAATACTATTTTAAAGGATACTTTTTTTTGTTGCAAGTATAATGTTGATGACGAGAATATATCTTTTCCTTATTCTGTTTCCTGGCTTTTAAATGTTAAAATTTTTTTTGAAAATTTTTATTTAATAAGAATTTTTTTTTATTAAAAAAATTTATAGATTTTTTCCATGTCTTCTGCGTATTTTTAATGTTATATATACATATATAATTAGAAAAATTATAACTGTAATTTTAAATGAGTTAAAGATGATAGAAAAGCAAAAAAAAAAAAAAAATTTNAAAAAAAAAAAAAAAAAAAAAAAAAAAAAAAAAAAAAAAAAAAAAAAAATTACAGATATGAAGCATAGGAATAAAAGAAACATGTGTTAAAGTTAAGTATCTAAATATCTAAAATCTAACAGTTAACAAAAATTGTTAAGAACAAAAAAAAATGTTATGAATGTGCTTTTAACTTTATTTAGCTCGTTTTCTAAATAAACAAACAAACAGCTAGTTAAGTGGAAGTAATTTCACCCGGTCCGTACGAACTTCCGCTACATCGCTATAGCCTTATTATTATTATGTTTTGCATTAGATTTGCCGTTTTCTCTTATCTTGATAACGTTTGTTGTTTAGAAATTTAAAAATCTGTTTTATTAAATCGAAATGAGCTCTTCTTATTATCACAAGTTGAATGATGATGGCAAGAAAAAATTGTCATATAATCCTTTTAATCTTGCCTGATCCTTTTTCTGGAGAGTTATTTTAAAGTTTAAAATATGAAAGAAAATTAAGTTTTTAAAAGACAATGGTCTCTAGCAACTAAATATCAAGTTAAGATATATTTACCTCGCAGATGTACTACTTACTCATGGCATTCTAAAAACATGCACAGCTTAAAACTTGTAACTTTTAGATGTGATATTAAAAGAAGTGCAAAATGTGACTTTATTGTCAATTTGTAACAGAAATTTTATTTTCTTCAAAAAATTAAATTTCATAATGGAAATTTTTTTTCTTTCTTAAATAAAAGCAATATCTTCAATTCCCGCACGCAAACAAAAGAACAAGAGATATGTTTGATGAAGTAATTACTTCATCAAATTTTCTTAAAATGCATTTATTTTTTTTTCTTTAGGAAGTTTAATTGTTAATGTTGTTCATTGAATTCTTACATGTACTAGATCTCTAATATAGTAGCCTTAACGTGTATGGTAACTTTTTTTCTGGATCAAATAAAGCTATAAGTTAGCAAATATCACAGATGTTATCTTTAAAATCTCGAAAAATTGAATTGTTTCTAGTTAAATTTAAACAATGGCTAGCATTTAACCAATCACAATTTTTTGCTCATCATTTTCATATATTTAAATGAGCAAGAAAATAATAAACAGAAAATTGCATTAAAAAAATTTTTTTTTTTTAAATGAAACAATTTTACAATTACAAATAATAAAGGAGAAAACTTACAAATATACAAACACTAATGTGGTTTCTGTATTTTTAATTTTAACTAATACTTTTATATTCAACATTTTTTTAAAAAAGAACTTTTTTTTTCAATTTAAATTGAGTTTGTGTGCCACAAAAAATGCCACCTCTGGTTTAAAGTAACTTTATTTTTTGCATGTCAAATATAGCACACACGAATCTGAATTATTTAGAGTTAAAAGTCATGTTTCTCTATTTACACCCTTGTGCAAATTAATTGAAACAAACTCAATAAATTCAGAAAACTAAGAGAAAATGCTATTTTATTTAAATTTATACAAACTCAAAAATTTTTAGTACATAATATGATCTCCACGACACTTTATTAACATTTGGACACGATTCGGCATGGATTCCACTAATTTTTTACAGTCATTTATAATNAACTAATGAAAAAAAATCTGATTTGAATATCATGAAAACATAACTATTTTCTAGCAATTTTCTATAGTTTTTGTAAATTTGGAAAGAAAAAGGATTTGGTAAGAGATTTTTCACAAATTTTATTTCGTACTATTAAAAAAAATTAAATTTTGTACTATTAAAAGGACATAGGCATTATATAGGACCATACTTTTTAAAAGCGTACAAAAGCTATTTAGAAAATTATAAGCATTTTAAATTTTCAAGATATACCAATCGAATTTTTTACATAGGTTGCCAATCAAGATTCTGAATAGAATTTTGAAAGAATATTTTCCGCACATGCACTGTATAAAAGTATTATTTTAATTGCTCATGTCTTGTGCAATTTTAAATGATTTTTTTTTTCAAATTTTAAAATGATATTTTTTTTATTAACTAAAAAGTAGTTTAGAAGTTTGTCTAATTTTATAGAATATTTTTGCAGACATAGTAAAAAAAGGGCAAAAAAATTAGTTTTCTGAAAAATGTTGACATCTCCATGAATATTTAAGCTAGGTTTACGAAATTTTGTGCTGTTATTGTAAATGTCAGAGATGTTTCCCAGACCGTCACCAATAGCCCATTGTGCAGCTCTAGTGCGACGTAAATTAACAACTATTGTAAATGTTAACTAAAATAATTAATACAAGTTACAAGCTTATTGCTATATACTTTGGTAGAGAGTGCTAAAAAACAGTATTTTTTGTCCACAATTTATTGCAAATCCCTCACACCTTTAAACTTAATTTAGATGTATGAGAAATCACATGACACTTCTAAAATTATAAAAAATAATTCTCCAACTATTTCTTAAAAAAGGATTTAGCATAGAAGTGTTTCCATAATTTTGTCCAACTCCTAAACTCATATACATTGTTGTTG